CATCGTTGCCCTTATTGTGGCCATCTCCACTGGCATTTGCAGTGGCATCGACGTCACCGGCGGATGATTTTTCGTCAACGGATGATGACTTGTGGTCGATGGTGGTGGACAATTTGTGGTCGTCAGCGTTCGTCAGTGTCTGTCGTCGTGCGACGACCGGATCGGGGGTGACGTTGGGGGTCGTCGGCGGATGGTCGGCCGTCGCCACGCACCCGTCGCTTGAATTAGTCGTCGCTGTTGTGGCCATCAAATTATTAATGAAACTGACAGGTGGCGGAAACTCGTATCGAAAGCCTCGTTCCGGAAAAAGGGTACCGTACGGTCGCATCACTACCTCGCAATTTTCGTGCGGTGCCGCCGAGTACACGCACGGCACCGACGAAATGACATGGTCACAACAGACGGTGGTAAACGAAGCACCCAATCCGTGTTCCAGATCAGACACGTGCGTCACGGACGATGAACCGGATGTCGAGATGTCAGCCGACATCGAAATGAAGTCCTGCGATCGCAACTACGACGTCGTCGTTCGTTTGACAGCCGAGGCGAGAAGTCAACGTGCCTCCACTACCACTACAGCTGGTCTACAACCGAACACGCAACACGCACCACAATGTAAACAAGCCGACTGTTCAAACGTCACTCGATCTTCTTCTCCCGCTACTGTCAGCGGCTATTCTCAATGATGTAGCGTGCTGAAAAAAAAACAACGTTCAGTACACAAAACTAGGCAGAACGAGGTCGCGGGCGAGGGCGACAAATACGCGTACGTTCGAACAATACAATCGAACACGAACGCGAAAAAGTAGAACTACCCGTCAGGAGTCCTTCCTCGCTTCGCACTACACTGTATTTTGCACTTCTTTTGGCACGATATCAGGAGTCAAAATTATTTGTTTCTTCAGTTTCACCGTCCTACCTCAGGGTGTTGCTGTTTCGTCTCTGAACAGCTTAGCACAGAAATCTTTTACTCTCTTGTCTATGCCTGATACTTCCGTCATCTGCTTTGAGAACAAAAGTTTATCATTTCCCTGTCGGCAACCCTTGATTCAATCTCTTCATGCATCAGTTGTTTTCAATAGTTTCTTTTACCGCTCTGCAGCTGAGTTCCCGGCCATCTTCTTTCATCCGTTTACTTAGTACTGCAAAGCTTCAGGTATTCGATCTCTGATTTCTGATATTCTCCTGCATTCGTTTCTCCCCATTTCGCTTGCAACGTGATTTTTCGGTTGACCTTCACAGTCCTTCATCTTCATCTTCATCTTCATCTTCCATCGCCGCTTCTCCTTTCGGGTCGCGGAGGCAGACGCGT